TTTTTTTGAACCGGTGATTGAACTCAGATCCTTGCGTTTTGTCAGTCAAGCGCTTATCCTACTGAGCCATCTCCCTGGCCCCTAAATAAAAGATTTTAAGTGTTAAAAAAAAAAAATGAACAAAAAGTCAATACTCCAGAGACACCCTGCAGCGCGCATAGTCTTGACAGTGGTCATCAAGCACCTGCCTGGCAAGGGCGTGGTCCTCAGTTCAATACCTGGTAACAAAACAAACAAAAACCCCAACAATGTTTATCATTCAGTTTCCAAAATAAGTGCAAATTGGACATATGAAGACACAGAACTATGTGACCCATACTCAAGAAGAATAACAACAGAGACTGACTGCCAGAACCAAAATACTGGAAATAGAAAAGGGTTTTCTTGTTGTTGAGACAAGGTCTCACTATGCAGTTCAGGCTGGCCTTGAAGCCACTATGTAACCCAGGCTGGCCTAAACTTTCAAAGATCCTCCTGCTTCAGACCTCTGAATGCAAAGACTGCAGGTATGCACTACCATACCCAACAGAAATACATACAGTTCTAAAGCAGTTATTCTAAAAGTATGATGAAGAAAATATTCTTCCAATGAATATGAAATATCAGAGGAAAAATAAAATCTTGAAAACTTAGCCAGAAGGAAAGGATGTAAGTAAAAAATACATATTTTTGAAAGATACATTTTAAATAAGAGTAATAAATCATAATACTGCATAAAACAAAAGGAAACACTGACTATATAGAATCCCCCAAAGAAGGCAGGCAATCAAGGTTTGACTGGGTTATCAAAGGAAACCACATCCGAAAATACTCAGGACAGGATGTGTGCAAGAGCTGGCCCAGTGCTCTCCCTGGGCAAGAGCCAAGTGGAGGAAGTCCCAGACAGCTGCCAGGGCTGGCCGGAGCCCTGCACACACAGCAGCCAAGCAGGCCACTCACTCTGCCCTGTTCCTGTCATACACCTGGGAATCTACCCCCAGGCTGGCTGCCAAGACCAATGTCAGCACCATTTCACACTGAGAACAGATTCTTGGTCCTTGGGACCCTTGCCTACCCTTCCATTTCTGGACCAGAGCCTGCTCTCTCAGTACATTTTTGGGTTCCAGGCATAGTGTGCATGCCTGTCATCCCAGCACTTGGGAGGCTGAGACAGGAAGATTGCCCCAAGTTCAAGATCAGCCTAGGCCACACAATAAGTTCAAGGTCAGCCTGAACTACACACACACACACACACACACACACACACACACACACACACCAACACAATGACAGATACATAAGGATTTTATATACCCTTAACTACATAAAATTGTC